TTTAGGTGATTTTTAATCGTCCAAGCCTTCTTGTATTACATTATAAATTTTATATTTAACATTTTATTTAATTTATATGAAAACGGAGCATATAATAATACAAAGAACGCTAAATTAATGTGTTTAATAACTGTTATCTTGTAAAAATCCCAATTCAAAATTTCAAAAAAATTTGATATTTTTGGTATTTTTATTTTCAATATCAGAAACAAATTTTTGTTCATGTTCTGTGTGCTAGAAATTATCCACAACTTTTATAGCGAGCACGTAGGTTCTTGCAGCGTTGAATCCGGTTAAATTATCGTCGGTCGTGGTCACGGCCGTCTAGGTGGTCCTCGTGAAAAGGAAACTGCATAATATATGTACATGCGGTTTATTGCAGCGTACTCACAAGCGCACATTCACGCGTGGCACACGGGTTCACTGACACGTGAGTTTATTTTCGCGTCCTTTGATGTGAAAAGCGTAGATTACACTGGAGGGTAGCGAGATCACGTCTAGCAAGATGTTTCGAATCTTATTTCAATGACGATAATAACAGCATAACCGCAAAAAGATATATAGGAAGCGGCTTGTTGATGTTTATTTTCTAATATAACTGATTTATAAATTGTTGTCGCTTTCTCAACGCAATTTGACGAATATAGTACATATAACTATTATTCGATATGCTTTTAGTGCTACAAAATGTTGAAAATGTTGTATTTAACGCGCTCACATAATTATTTCCCAAACAACTTTATAATGAAAATTTAAATAAGAATTGTGTGTGTATAATCTTTAATTAATATGTTATCTTTTCCAAAAGAACACTATGAGACTTAATGTCAGCTTTACAACGTACAATATCCTCTGAGGAATTTCAAAAAGTCATGTATATTTTAATCAATCTATAATGTCAGTTCTTTTAATTTAGAATAAATGACTAAATATATTACTGTAATAATATCAGAGTAGATATATTTTTTCTTTTATATACAATATGATATATGTGTGGGAGGATACGTGGCTTTGTGTGAAAGCAGTCGAGTCAGGTTTGGCTCAGGTTTGAGCTCGATCTTCATTTCATATATACAATAGAATAATAAAAATGTTACAAAATGTTATTGTTAATCACTTATGTTACATATCATGTATATATAGTACACACATTTATTTAAATTTTATTTTATATTCAAATATATGATGTATTTTATAATTGTGAAAAGTATATGTTACATATTTTTCAATTTTTCGGTATACAACGTACTTTATATAGGTCAACTTTAAGCAAAAGCTGTAGCCTTTTTTCACCAGGTTTACGTACTGAATTTTCAGTTGATCCGCAACATCTTCACCTACGTATACAGCGGTTTGTTACATATAAGTAAAATCGTGGGAGGCAAAGAGAGTGCATTTGCGTGGGCCTGTAGGCCTATACCATGTCCATTTGTCCCTGTGTCTGTTTCGTTTGTCGACAGTAGTATGCATGTGCTTGGGTCGTGATTATTTCTCGGTGGAAAAGGAGATTACCGTAAATCATTCTTAACATTACGATCCTTTGACCGGCCGACGCGATGGCGACAGCACGCTTTCACTCTTCTTAATCAAAACATTTGCTATTGATAAAAATATTTTCAGTGAAGTTAAAATAAAGACATAATTAAAACAAAAATAATTAGAACAAATAAAAAGTTATGAAGCACAATTCATTCTCTCATTTTTTCTATAAATATATTTTTATAAAACTCATAATTTACGCATAAATTTGTAAAAAAAAAGTTTGAAGAATTGTTGTAGTTTTTCTACTGCGCAAGTAATAATTATTTTAATAATTCCTTTCTGTATCCTTTCCTTAATGCTGGTATCCTCTCATTTCGTTCCCGCCTTTATATAATCATCAATCATCTGTCTTTCCTTTTCTTTCTTCCATATGCAATAATGAATTCGATTCGATTTAATATGCTTTTTTTAGAGTAAATTATACATTGTCTGTTATATAAAATAATTAATTAAAATAGTAACATATAATATAATATGTATAATTGTATATATTATCATTTTAGTTAAATACGTAAATATACTAATATCTATTTATTAATATCTATAATAAATGTAACATGAAAATTGACAAAAAAATTTGCCATTTCTTTGGAGAAGGAAGACACTTTCACCAACAGTCAAATCACGTTAAAGTGTGCAAGTTCTTGATCTTAAGATATATTATTCTTTGTAATATGATGTGATATTACTAAAGTATTATAAACTTATTCATGTAAATAACATATAAATAAAATGTATTCCTATTACTTATTTCTATTACTTTCTTACTCATGATCTCTATGAATACCTATGAATACCTATGAATACCTATGTTGAATTGCACATTTCAAAATTCAGTTTAGCGTTTTGGTACTTTAGAACGAAGAGTGTGTTAGATAATTAGAACTCTTAGTATTTTTTTGAAATTCGTAAAATATGGACCAACTTTTACAGACGCAATACTAATTCAATACAAATTAAATAAAAAATTGAGAAATATATTTCTATATTTGCTTATTAATGCATGGATATGTATTGTTATTTAACATAATTTGTTAATGTAACATGATTATTTAAATTATACTTATAATTATTTTATACAATTATCTAAATTAAATAAATTGTTAAATAAATTGTTTATTGCTTAATTTCTTTCTGACATAAATCTCTGTAGAAAAAATCGTGAAAAGAGAAGCATTTTTTAAATAAATATCCGTGGACACGCAAACATACGATACGACGTTTATTTTTAAGGATAAAAAAGATATTGTACTTTTACTGTTCCAATATTTTCAACTTTTTGCAAATAAAGTTATAATTGACCAGAATGCGGGATTGACACATGATATAATTGATTCTTTATTGTGACGGAACCTCAGCGAAAGCCTCAGAACGGTCGGAGGTGGAAGGCGCATAAAAGCTACAGGAAATCAGGGCCCGACTTGGGCTGTAGCGCCATTCAGCTGAATTAAATAATTAATTTTGAAAGAAAAACATAACGGAAAAGAAAAAGCATTATCGGAGCAGAACGCAACTACATTTTACAACATTCTACATAAATTATCTTTTTTTTACGCTTCCTCAAATTGCGTTACGTGAAAGAGCGTGACAATTACTGGAATGACAGATGATCCCGAGGAAGATAATTCATTCATTCATTGCGTATCTCACACGTGCACCGAAGAGATACTGTTAGTCTCGATACGTGTGGCGCTCTCAGTTAACATTATCTGAAACACGTTATACATGGTATGATTACTGGATGGTGATATAAAATATCTTCTTCAGGAAATGCGGAAACATACATATTTTTATTGTAAAATTCACTCAATATGCGTGGGATAGAGAATAAAATAATAACTCGAAAAAAAATTTTTTATATATAATTATATATAAAATATGTCCATATACATAATTTTTTTTTCTTGTATGATATGTGTTTGCATATGTAAGACAAATAAGAAGAAAAATTAAAAAATAATTAAAAGGATAATTTTTGCATTATTTTTTTTACAAAATGATGAAATTTCAAGAAATGAGAAAAATTGCTCACAATCATATATAGGTAATAATAAAATGTAATAATCGTTATATATACAATATGGTTATGTATTGTATATAGAATATTGTATAATTTAATCGTAATTTTAATTTTTGTAAAAAAAATGCAAACGTTATTTTTTAATTACTTTTTTTATTATTTTTCTTATATAATATAAAATTCTTATATAAAATATACATATATAATATTCTTATATAAAATATACATAGTCTAAGACTGAATTTTTTTTAGATTTTATATACAGGGTGTCCGAAAAATCGCCTACTCCACTTCGGGAGGTGATTCGGGACCCAAAAACAAGCAAAAAAGTTCATACAAACATAGGTCCGGAAATGAGCCGTTTCCGAGTTATAGCCACTTTTATGTTCAATAAATCGTAATTTAGAATCCGCTTGACATCCCTTTTTCTTAATTATTTTCTTAAATTAAAAATTTTTATTTTTAAATATCAGCTAATTCATTAAAACTTAAACGATCCATTGATGAATACGGAAAGATTAGATACAACCTAAAAGTAAGGTGTTGTTAAATAATAATTTGAAACTTATTGAAAAGCCGTGATTTACTTACTGATTTTGAATAGGCGTGAAAACAACTGATTTCAAGTAGCCGTAAAAACAACTGATTTTGAATAGCCGTGAAAACAACTGATTTCAAGTAGCTGTGAAAACAACTGATTTCTTTTAAAAATAATGTAATCGTATTTACAAATATTGAAAAATTAAAAAAAAATAAAAAAATTAAAATTAAAAAAATTAAAAATATTTAAAAATAAAAATTTTTAATTTAAGAAATAATTAAGAAAGATGGATGCCAAGCAGATTCTAAATTACGATTTTTGAACATAAAAGTGGCTACAACTCGGAAACGGCTCATTTCCAGACCTATGTTTGTATGAACTTTTTTGCTTGTTTTTGGGTCCCGAATCATCTCCCGAAGTGAAGTAGGCGATTTTTCGGACACCCTGTATATAAAATTTTTTTTCTAGAATGTAGCAATAAACAACAATCACACATGTCCTTGTTGAAAGTCCGCTCATCCAACAACGCGTAGGATAATTTATCAATAAGCGACCATATTTGATTCTGATATCTCGTTCCATCGTTGCTTTTATTAGTTATCATTTATACATTTTGAAAAGTATTTCTCCGGCATATATTTAGAAATTTGAAATAAAAATCGTCAAGCAGTATTTTCTAACATAAATAAATGTTTGAAAGAAGAAATGCGCAAAAAATAATTTCTAACTAATAATATCTTCCGAAGAAAGAGAGTGCGTGCGAGCTATCGCATAAATTATTTAAATCAACAGGACGAGAAAAATGTATCTCCGGCCTTCGGCTTATCAATTTGATATATTTGCATTCTAGAGTCTTTCCGCTCAAATAGTAACATATAAAAGAGTAAGCCGCCGACAAATAATTTCACATTGTAACAGAAAACGTCGCGAAACATTTACTGTACGGTATCATTGAAATTTATATCGGCCGACAAGTTATTTCTGACATGAGGCGACTCATTCTTCTGTACGTAACTTAAGTGACAATCGCTTTTAAGCATGATATTACCTAAGATATTAATTACAATCACATTAGTTATAATTATATACAATTTGTATAATTATATAATATCTTTGTAAGCACGCTGTTATTTACGCTGGATATTAATTACTATTGCCATAAGGAGTTATAACTATATTCTTACTTTAATAACTTTAAGTTAATTATTAATTTAAACTGCAGCGCTTTAAAATATTCCTGCTTGTAAATTCGCCCCTCTTTTTTTCGGATATCGAAAAACACTTCCATTTTCGTCTAATCTCTTATCCAATTATCTTGGACAGAAAAGCAAAATCACGTACACGTTTAATAATGCAGTTCGAAATTAAATATAATTAAGAAATAATTACAATACATTTATGTATATTTTATATTCTTATGTCTCTTGATTCTTTAGATGTAAATCCAAAATCTCGTACATTATAATCCCTTCTTATGCGCATAAATAGGAATATTTTAAGACGTAATTTAAAATATAATAATATATATATTAATTGTATATTGCATATATTGCAATAATTGTAATATATTACATATATAATAATTATTATATATAATATACATATTAATATACTAATCGATATATTTGTTAATAATTTTTTCATCTTTGAAGCGCCTTTATCGGCACGTTTCTAATAAGAAACGTAACGCTGTCAAAAATTTATGGATATCCTTCGCATTTGGAATGGTTGTTCAGCTCAAGTAAATTAAGTGATAATGAGGAAGAAAAGCGAACTATATGCGAATCCGAAGAATGCAAGGAAATGGGTATTTGCATTTCATTAAACAACTAGGCTCGACTGCTCTAAAAATTCAAATCGTCAATCGTTATCATTCGTCTTTTTCACATTTCTTAGCTGATATGCTATTAGGAGCCATGAATAGATCCGCAGATCCATGTGACGACTTTTACGAGTACGCGTGCGGAAAGTGGCCGGAGCAGAATCCCATTCCAGAAGGTTATCCCAAATGGAGTATGAGCATGATGCTTATTGACAAGACTAATGAAGAAATAAAAGGTGATCAGCTCATCTACACGCTGCTATCTATAAAATTCAAAATTCTAGATTTGCTTAGCATATCAACATTATTATCTTAACATTATTGAGTTCTTCGCAGAGATTATAACGGCCGAACCTATGGAGAACGAACTCAGAACGGTGAAACTTGCGAAAAAGTGGTTCAAGGCTTGCACGGATACAGGTGAGTGCATCTGTACTAATTAAAGTATAAAATAAAAAATGTGCACATTTTATGTAGCATATTCTACAACGTAATTATTCGCCAATGCTTACAGATGCGATGGAAAAGCAAGGAGTCGACCCGCTGGTTTCTACCCTATCGCGTTTAGGTGGCTGGCCGATGATAATGGAGCCGGATAAATGGAACGAACAGGAATATAGCTGGCAAAAAGTGGACAATCGATATATGCGTTTATTAGGAAGAAATGCCTTTTACGACGTGCGCGTACAAATAAATGATACAAATGTAGTACAGGTATTTATTGTGATACATTTAGTCAGCTAATTAAATTTGTTACCAAGAATACAATTAGACTTATTACGTCCGAATTAATTTCACGCTCTTTTTGATTTGAAAAGGAAGTACATCCCTGGTAGATGCTATTTCTATAATTTCGTTCGTGTACGTACATACATCGTGTACATATTTTTTCAGTCGTATTCCTTACCGTTACTCGTTGTATGTAAATATAATTTAAGTCTAAAACATTTGCATCAATTTTCTATCAGTCATTCGATTCTTTTTCTTTGAATCTATATATCTAGATTGACTTGCCACATTTACCACCGGGTTCAGACCAATTACGAGCTGTGATAAAACTTGCTATTGAAGCAGAAGAAACAGGAGACAGCAGAAGTGACGAGGACCCCAGTGACGAGGAAGAGCAAAGCAAAGAGCAGCCTGGAAGCGAAAACAAAGATCATTCTAAATTCGTTGATGATGATGACGATGATTTTGTAATCGTCATTGTTGGCGATAGTGAAGACGATGATGATAATAACGATGACGATAATGATGGCAGTGGCGATTGCGATGACGATAATGATGGCAGTGGCGATAGCGATGACGACGATGACGACGACGACGACGACGACTACGACTACGACTACGACGACAACGATGACGACGATGACGACGATGATGATATAAACGAGAATGAAGATGTTAAGAAGGAAATAGGCAAGAAGAAAATCACCGCCAAGATCAGTCATAGGAAAAATAAAAAATTACATGTTAGAAAAAGCGGCACTAAAATCATTAAGAAGCATGACAGTAAGACGAAAAGACAGAGAATAAAAAGATGGGCGATAACAGAAGTTGACGATAAACGCGCGCAGCGTTTTAGTAGTCGCGAGAAGGTACACGCACGAAAAGGTAAAAGAAACTACGTAAGAAAAGTACATAGAAAAAAGACGAAGAAAATTTTGGACAGTGGGGAAACAGTATACACAACGGCGATACCGCAAGTTAACACAGAAGAAACAAATGAAGATAATAAGAATGAAATAACATTGTTACAACAGTACGCGAATTACATTTCGAAAGTGGCTCGTGTTATAGCCAAAGAGGAAGGTACTAAAATTTCAGAAGAACGTCTCAATGAAGATATTAAAGATATGATCGAGTTCCAATTGAAACTGATCCAGGTGAAGATCGTGCTATTGCTTCACTTTGCGAAACATAAGAACCGAGCAAAGAGAGACTTTTAACGATCTGAATAATTAACGTTCCAGATTTCTCCAGAGGTTACGTTGGAGTCGTTATCCAATCCTGTCAACATGCAAGTTACACTTGGAGGTTTTCAACAATGGTATAACAAAAAAAACCCTAAAACAGCTAACAGCAGGGTAAGTAATTTTTTTCAAACGATTAATTTAGCTTGATTTTTATAATACATTATTCTTGCGATTTTTGTGGTTGGATAAATATGATTAATGCAATGAAAAATGATACTGTTCATGAAAAAATTTTTTAAAATTACATAAATACAATAAAATATGTCCAAATATGTTTTCTTTCTCTTATACAACCTCTCTGTTCGTATATACAAGAAAAATAGTAAATAGTTTGAGAAAATGAGAAAAATTGCCCGTATATAATTATATATAAATATAATAATTGTATATAAAATATAATTATACAATATGATTATATATAAAATATTATGTATAGAAAAGACCGGGGCTATATGTATCCACACTTTAGCTTTTTTCAAGTTTACTAAAAAACTAATAAATATATTTGGCTAAAATTTCAATGGTATAACCTTTCAACCTTACTATTAAAACAAAACATAATTAGAATCGTTGATTTTTTAACATTTTAAAGAGGCGATTTTTTTAAGTGGACAAGTCAAGCTCCATATGCGGGGCTATTCTGTCCACATTCGAGGGGCTATCTGTCCACATAATAAAAAACACATTATTTATATTAAGTTATATACTTATTTATAATATTATTTATTATTAATATATAATATTGAAAAAACTGCCTAGTCGTTGGAGTCAGAGAAGTAGTAGGCACTTTGTGTAGATTCTTTGACAAGTTTCCTGCGTAGAGCTGACTTTTCTTTACATACGGTGGCATCAAACTGATTTTGAGTCCGTTGCAAAATCAATGTGATGAGTTTCTTTTGTCTCCTCAATTCTTTAATCTTTTTTTTATTTAGGGCCTTTACTTTATTCTCGACAGCGTTTGAAATAGAAAATATTCAATAATTTAAGACAAACTCATATATTTAACTTGACGTGTATTTTTAAAATAAAAATTTGGTGACACTTCTTGAATCGCAGGATCAAGTAGTTGCTCGTAGGTCACTTTTTTACAGTAGCGAGTGAGAGCCCGAACATTTATTCCAAAGTCTAACGCTGTTTTTACGAAAAGATTCTCGCTCAATTTTTATTCTTTTAATCGCTCTAAATATAATTTTATTAGATATGTTTACCTTATCCGTCTTAAGGAAAGT